CTCACGGTTGATCTCTTCGAACAACAGTTTCAAAAAAAGCAATAAAAGTACCCAAGCATGCCAAATGAAAGCTAAGAAATTTAAATTTACTGGAATAATCTATAACATATGGCGCGCTTGTTATGCTACAGAAATGTTTAACAAGTAATTTCTACATGAAAGTTATATGTATGTAGGTATGTACAATTCTATGTCACAATCGTTATAGTGATCTCGCTATATATAATCAGGACCGGTTTTGGGTTAAAAAAAAGCCGACACAAGGAAAGTCTTGTTGCGGTTAATTTACTTATTTATATAATACTTTATCTCAGGTGTAAGAAACTTGAACAACTAGTCTGGTGAACTAATTCGTTTGAAGGATACATTCAATTTTCTAATTTTGACATATTAAGTGACACCTTTAGTAATTACAGCAAGTATCAAATCAATTGGTTTTGAAAATTTTAGGTACGAAAATAAAAATAACTTTTTTGGTTTTACAAGTACTTATTAAAAGTAATTTTAAAAAACCGTCTTCAAAATCGTGCAGATGTAATCACCACATCTTAACCAGATTTATATTGGACCACCCCTGAGGTACCCCCTCAACTAACAAAAAAAGAATCATAGAAATTGGACAAGGTGATAAAGAATTATCGCTAAACATACATAAAAGATAAAGAGTTTGAAGATTTTCTCATAGATCCAATTATTAGATTTTGACAAAATTTATACGGGATCTCGCCTGAGGTACCCCCTTACTAACAAAAACAGAATCATAGAAATTGGACAAGGTGGTAAAGAATTATTGCTAAAAATACATAAAAAATGAAGAGTTTGAGAATTTTCTCATGGATCCAATTGTTAGATTATGACCAAATTTATATGGGGCCACAACTGCGGTGCCCCCTTTCTAATGAAAAAAAATTATCGCTGAACATACATAAAAAAAATATACCGACGAATTGAGAACCTCCTCCTTTTTTGAAGTCGGTTAAAAATCAATATAGTTACGATATAGTGCTTTTGAAAGATTTTATTGGAGGAAGGAAGGTTGGAAATACAATGTACGAGTATGTGCCAGAACTCTAGTGTCAAACGAAAACCCCATAATGTAAGAGTTGACCTTAAGTCGATTTACCCTAAATTACATTAATCTGAAATTGCTTTATAAGGGACCTATAGTGATTAGATTTCAAAGACAAATTTTGTAATTTATACCACAAGATGGTTTTCATGAATCTCATTTCGGAGATACTTTTGCAAAGTTGTTAGTCAATCTCTTTAAAGATAATTTTGCAAATAAAACAGTAAATTTTTTGCATATTCTCGAAGAAACTGTTTGTAATCAGTATCTAGCTTTTCGTTTCGAGAGTTTCTGTTCTAATTGGATCAATCTCGCCATAGCTCTTGTCTTGGAGTTGCCTAGTGTAGGTTCCGAGTTTGAAAAGGGAATTCTTACTGTTTAGCTTCCATCTTCGTTTATTTCGGTAGTGTGTTGATAAAACTGTTCACATAGTTGGTCATCTTGGTTCACATATTTGGGTGAATTGACTTCTTCCAGTTCCCAAAATTTTGTTAACTGTTTATTTCTCCAGTACGCACAACCTTACTTATTACCTTTGTGGTGTTCGACTTGGACGAGACCTGACATAATTTATCCTAGTTCGGTATTTTGTGCTATTACACCAGCTTCAGTTTTGTGGAGGCCAGGAAGTATGATATTGGCATATTCTTCTGCTTCTAAAAGTATACCAATTGGACCAGGTTTGTTACAGGTTGGATCAGCTATAAGCTTATTTCGCCATTTGCCTAATGTCCATCTTTGTCAAGAATTTTTGGTAGTGTTTGCGTTAGTTTGGACAGTACAAGTAGATGTACAGTCAAGATATAGTTGCTAGAAAATCGTGGGTTTACTGTAGCTTCAATTTGCCATTTAAAAATTTTTGGTTCTCTATCTCCCAATCCAGAGATGTCTGCTCGTATTCTTTTTCTTGGTAAGTTTAAGAGTTGTGCTGCTTCTTCGGTGATAAAGGATGACTGCGACCATTAATCAACTAGCACTTGTAGAAGTTGTACCTTTAACATAGCCGTAGGTATTAACACAATATTATATTGTCTTCCTATGTGTGTCGACGTAGATAAAGGTTCACATTGAGGAAGCTGACTGGCTGCTATGGTAGTATTGATAGAACTGTTAATAGGTTTCCCAACTTTAGCATGTTCTGCAAACGTTAGCTGTTTTTTTTCTGTCTTTATGCAGCATGTTGTGATGGGACATACCACAGGTGCGTCATCGGAGTGAACATTTTTTCTTTGAATCATGTGTCAAACAGTTGTAAGATAGTCGATTGTTTCTGATAAATTGGTTTCTATCAGCTACAGAAAATATTTAAATTTTATTCATTGGTATTTGCTATGTAACTGCTTATAATACACGCAGTCTTGACTTTTGGGCTTTAAACCAGTCTGGGAGAACTCATTTGACTTCTTAACAGTACTAGATTTTTCTAGTGATTGGATTCGTCTTTCATTTTACTCCGGTACAAAATTTATTGCCATCAGATCTACCGTTAAGATACCAATTTGTAAGTGCTATCCGAAACAAGCAAAATCTTGATCACACCTTCGTCGACTGAATATTATTAACCGAGCAGTCAAAACATATTTAAATAACAATTTTCTTGAACGCTGTATTTGTCGTGGTAGCCATTTCCCTTAGCCAGCACGTAGTCCAGACTTGAATCCTCTCGATTTCGGTGTATGGGGTGCAATGAAACAACTTGTTTATAAGGATCCCTTAAATACCGGCGACCAACTTTGGGAAGAAATAAATAGAACAGCTGGTTTTTTTGATCCAATGATTTTATTTAATATGGGACGATATTTTATGGAACGTGTAGATAAATGCATCGACGAGAATGGAGGACACACCGAACATTTAATGTGAGACAATTCAAGTTATAATGTTATTTAGCTTAGTTTTTTCCAATTTGTTTTCTAAATGTTTTCAATATTAATCATGCAGCTGATCCCTAAAATGCGATTATATCGTAAACCGTTAAGTTTTAAGGTTAATAACAAGTATACTTTTCTTCTATTAAAATAACGTGGCTTTAATATTCTTTTACAAAAATACCGCTAACTTAAACAGCAAAAAAATTTAGGGCACATTTATACCGCAAATGTAGCCTATATAGCGCCCTCTATAAATTACATCGAAAAAGGTACCAGATCATAATTTTTCGTACCCAAAACCTCTATTTCCAAATTTTTATGTATACATATCCAAAAACGTTATTGCAAATAAGAAATCTTAAAATTTAACCTTTAACACCCTGTATATTCCTTATTAGCAACATTTTATTAACGCAAGTTGGTTTAAATCGTAATATTTTAAAGTGAGGAATTTACTTCTATTTACAATTACTTAAGGACCACCCTGTATGTAAAAAACTTTTAAAAATTAGAAAAAGTCAATTCCGAAATACTCTTTGCTTATATATTCAATATTCATAGAAATAAATTATATTTTCATTCTCCATTTGGGATACAGTGTACCTATATACAGATTGTCCACAAAAGTTATAAAAAACAATTGTTTAAATCCTCCATTATTTTAAATTCAATAATTAAATGTCACATTTCGAAAATATTTGTGATAAGATTTGTCACAATAAATATATATTCATAGAAATAAATTACATTTTCATCCTCCATTTGGGATACAGTGTACCTATATACAGATTGTCCAAAAAGTTATAAAAAACAATTGTTTAAATCCTCCATCATTTTAAATTCAATAATTAAGTGTCACATTTCGAAAATATTTGTGATAAGATTTGTCACAATAAAATCAAAAACAGAGAAATATTTTATATAAATTTTCTAAAAAAATCAAGGCCAATTAATTTAAATATGGGCATTTTTTTTAATTCCTATATACATTTTTTAAAAAGTATTTTTTCCTGTAGAGTGTGTTCACTTGTAAAAATATTTATTTTAAATTTATCAAAAAAAGTAATGCTACAAAATTTCTTTTACGATTGACGTAGAGAAACTTCGATTTTGTTATACAGAGTGCGAAGAAATACAACAATTGTGGATTACAAAATTAAAATTATTAAAAAAGCTTCATTTGGCTTTTCGATTTCTTCTTACAACCTTTTCATTAGAGCGCTTAAAAAAATTATAATAAAAAAAAATTTAATTTTGCAAATCTAAAATTGAATTTTTTTTATTATGCATCCTGTACAATTAAATCTAAGTTTCTCAAAGTGAATCCTATTTATTTAACAAGCAAAAAAATATGAAAAATTTCTTTCTGAGAAAAATTTAAAATAAAGATTTTTACAAGTATATATAGTTAAAAACATCCGTGGACACACTGTATAATTTAAATAAAACCTTTGTGGACATACAGTATGTAAAGTAAGGGTGGTCAAAATCCGCATTTCTTCGATAATTTAAAATAAAAAATACTAATAATAAAATTATTAACTTATTTTGTATGGTAATTTTTAATAATAAAAAATAATTTAAAAATAACTATAATGAATTTTTACATATCTTAATAAATTAACCATTGACTTTATTAAAAAAAATAATAATTTCCAAAAATATTAAAATTAATTAATTCATAATACTGGAGTAAAATAATTTAAAACCGTTTTGGTTCTTATAATTTAACAATAAATAGATTTTAAATCAAGCGTTTATTTTTAAGCATTATTATATTTAATAATTAAAATACATATTAAGTATAATATATTACCACCCGATCTAACGTACCATATCCCAAAAAAATAATTATCGAAGAAATGCACAATTTTCAACTCACCCTGTATGTATTTAAAAAATCCACCCGTGTCATACACACTCTTTCCACTGCACACTCAAACCTGGAGCGACGTCACCAAAAAAAAGCTGTGATTTTCCAAAAATAAAAAAACATCACTAGGTCACAAGGGGGTATAATCCTTTGTGGGGGGAAAAATTGGGGTGCACTAGATCCTTACCAGTTGAGTAGAGTGCACTGAGCACTAACAAACACGCGAATCTCTTCATGGTTGATTTCGTGGTACGACGGTACGAGTTACTGGGTTCTTCGCGGGTGGTTCTGTTTCTTTATAGACGATCGTCCCCGCCACTGGTCAAGTACCATTGGGTCGTACTGAACTACTACCGTTGGGACACCTCTTCGGCGGTATACCGATTTGCCACGGACCGGCAGATTTTATTTGATTATGAATGGGTTCGGAAAAAAAGGATAATTGATTTTCATCTTATAACAAGCTCATTTTGAAAGTATTTTTAAAAAAATATGAGTACGACTCTAGAATAATTAACGATTTTTAACAAAAGCCCGTGGGCGGATTTAGTAAAAAAAGTTCACAAATTAAATAAAAAATTGAATATTTTCAGAACAATAACTTTCTATTTAACAATTCTGATATAAAAGTACTAAAGTTGGTAAAACAATAGGTTTTTTTAAATGAAATTTTATAGAGAAACGGTTTTCAAAAAAAATTCTAATCGTTGAAGTTGCAAAAAGGGAAAAATATACAGGAACAAAAGTTTAGCTTATTTCGCTGAAATATGCGAAAAACTTGAACTTACAATAAGTATGTTAAAAATTATAAAATCGTTTTTGTTTATTTTCTGAACCCAAAAACAATTATTTAAACATGGAATTAGAACTACTTGAAACGCAATATGATATACAAAATAACATGTCGGAGGTTCTAGGTTTTATCATTGATAAAATTATTAAACATAGACTATAATAAAAAGTACCATATAGTACCTAGTCTAATTATACAGGGTCTTCAATAATACTCGTATCCCACGTGATATGGTAACATCACAAAACAACAAAAGTGCCTGATTTTAGTTACATTTACATCAGAAATATATTTGTTTACATTTTATCAACACTTTTATTAAATGTTTCATTCAATATTAATAAACCAATCAGTTATTTTTAGAGATTATTGGCTCAATTCTTTTCAACAAATTTATTTACTGTACCTAACTCGTAAAAGTTAGGTAGGTACTGCATATAATTTAATCTGTAGACTGGCTCACGAGCTAGGAGGTGCCTATCATCTCAGGAGGATGCACAATTGGCCTAATGAGGCCTAAGTGCCGTGGGGTAATCTACCCACCACACGTTACATACAGATCTAAACACAATATAAAAGGTCTTTGATATAATCGTTTTACCTGTAATTTAAAAAAATAGAGCTATATACATTTCTTAATGACAGGGATGGACATACATGACTAATAATTGATAAATTTGGTGAAATTGTATATAATCAATTCATATATTTTTAAAAACAATTTGTACAATGCTTATTTTCATTTCCCTTAAAAATTAACATAAACTGTCACTTTAAAAAGGTGTGCGACATTACAATGTCGACTGGTTAAATTGGGTTAAATACCACTCGACTTGTCTAACAACAAATACGTTCATGCGTTCTTATTCGACATTTCATCAATGTCACGTGTGACAGATGACAGATCTAACTAAAGAACATTTCCTTGTGAAATTCAAGGAAATATGGGATTAAACAAGAAACTGCAGAGTTGCCAGTAATCCTGACAACACGACAGTAAAGAAATACTTGACTATGACTAGACAGAATCTGCGCTTGGTTACAGGCATGTTGAATGGTCATTGTCAAGTACGGAAGCATCTCCATATCATGGGGTTTTCAGAATCCGCACTCTGCAGGAGGTGCGAACAAAAAGATGAGACCATCGAGCATATCCTCTACAATTGCCCGACGCTCTCATTTGTCCACTGATTATCAAAAATTATCGCTTTATTATCTTGAACATATTATTTGAACACCTGATATGCCTTATTTATTAGAATTTCACAGCAAGTAAAAATACAACACTTGTATTGAAAATAACTAACTAACTATCTACAAATAGTCTATTTATATTAGAAATGTTATATTCCAGACAGGCTTGTGTAGAAAGATCTCGTAATGCTGCCGTCGTTGCGTCGGTGATTTTTAGACGGTTGGTGACAAAGCGAAAAAACTTGCTAGTCACTACATGTACAAAGAGCTTTCTGATATTCTCTCGGATGTATCGAGGAAGACTAGGCAGATTGGGCGTCGCGCTATAGAGCAGGACCAGTCTCGCGCCACAATCATTTTAAGTTTCAGTTGTAGCTAAATATCTTGGAGTCACCTTCAATTTAAAATAAATAATTTTTAATTCTATTATTATTTTTAGCATCAAATTTTGTAAACACTACCTTGTTCTAAAATTTTTTTTAACGTTTTATATACGGTTTTACTTTTGAAATTAAATCTACAAAAGTGTTCACAGCTACTTTATTAAAGTCTAGTGTGATATCTATCTCTTCTAAGACTATTTTTTTTGTTCATAACTTTTTCTTGCGCTCTATTTTTTTGGTAAGAATTTTCTTTCTAATAATCGCAATAATAGTAAACTAGTATGAACCATATTTCTTAATATTTCATTGTATTATTCTTTTCAATAAATACAAACAAAGCAACTCAGTTTTTAAGGTTAGGTTGATTGCAATATTAAAACTTTAACTGAATTTTGTTCTAATGGTTGCAGATTAAATGAAAAGATTTATTTTTACCAACTGCTGTCATGACGACTTGTTGAAGACCCTGTATAAATAAAAAAATAATTGTAATAGCAAGTTATTTCTTTAAAAAAATCACATTTTTAAAACTGACACCTTTTTTGTTTTGAGCAGTATAAAAACGCCTAATTTTGTCATTATTTATCAATTTTATTGTAATACCTAACTACTAAATATACAATTATTACATTTAGAAAATTATGTCTGTTGACATTCCTTGTAAAAGTCAAAATAAAAACTTTCTAACCTCATCACAGTTCTCATATACTATTTAGAAAATTTTAATTCATGGAAAACCCCTTAAATTTTACATTCCTAACCTAATGACTTAGACATTCAAAGTAATTATTAACGCAACCGTAATATGATTATAAATTCAATCTTTTGAGTTTAACTCGATGAACTGGGTTTATGGGTATACCTGAATGTCAAGCAAAAATTTATGGTTTTGTTTTTGCAACTCAGTTTTATATGTGAGCCTTTCATTAAGACTTTTTGGAAAAAAATTAAGTGGCTCTTGACAGGATTCCTCTCAAGAAATATAATTTAAAATTATTTTTTTCTTAGTAGTAGGTAGTTCCAAATACGTTTCAATCAGCTATCTTTTAATTTATTTTCAATGCTACATGGTCACAAATACAGGGTGGGCCACAAGTAACGTCTCACAATCTATAGGGTTGAAACAATCTACTTTTTCGGAAATAGGAAATAGGTATTTACAGTCACACTTAAATTATTTGTCAATTTACGAAGTCATAGTATTTGGTATTTATTACCTAAACCTATATCAATATTATGTTTAATAATAATGATCACAGTCACACAGAAAAAAAAATTAAGGGTCTGGGGATCAGACTGTGTTTTCTATATGTTGTTGGGGTCGCTGCATTCGAATCCGTGGCCCGTTTAACCCTATCACGTCAGTGTTTTGCTATGACCTCCAAAAACACAATAATTGAAGCTTTTCATCACTTTTTAATGCATATAAGCCTGCAACTCAAACTTTAAACACAAAAGCCATGCTGTTATCTCCAAGCCTATAACCCTATAACACCATAAACTCATAACCCCTTAATGCAATGACCCCATAACCTTAAAAAACGCCATAATTAAGGCTTTTAAGCCCTATTGAACGCATATTACTCTCAGATTGTCAACTGTATCTCGCGGATGGTTGTCCTGTCTTTGTCTGCATCCAAACAGCCCAATTTTTTTGGCTTTTTTTGACACATTGACAAAACACTGACTTGATAAGGTTAATCGAGCGCCGGATTTGAATTTAACGACCCCAAAAACATAGAAAACATGGTCTCATCCCTAGACCCGAAAATTTTTATGTGGTTGTGAATTATGAGTTTATGAGATTATAGGGTTATGGGTTTGAAGTTAACAGCTTGGCTTTTGTGTTTAAAGTTTGAATTACAGGCTTATATGCATTAAAAAGTGCTGAAAAGCCTCAATTATTGTGTTATAGCAAAACACTGACGTGATAGGGTTAAACGGACCCCATATTCGAATTCACCGACCCCAAAAACATAGAAAACGTGGTCTGATCCCCAGAATCGAATTTTTTTTGTTTGGCTGTAAATTATAGCGTTTTTTAAGGTTATGGGACTATTGCATTGTGGGGTTATGAGTTTATGGGGTTATAAGATTAAGGTTTTAGACTTAGCAGCTTGGCTTTTGTGTTTAAAGTTTGAGTCACAGGCTTATATGTGTTAAAAAGTGCAGAAAAGCCTCAATTATTGTGTTTTTTGAGTTTATAGCAAAACACTGACGTGATAGGGTTAAACGGACCCCGGATTCGAATTCAGCGATCCCAAAAACATATATCGTCCCCTGTAAATTCATCGACTGTGGCCGGTACAGGTTAACTGTCTAGATTACTCATTCATGAAAATGAAACATTGACGAAATATACTTCTGTTTAATCCACTCACTAATAGTGCCTCATCTGAGTACAAAATGTGGCATGTCGTATTTTGCTATTTGTAGTTGAGTAAAAGGGAGGGAGGGTGAACATCATGTACTATGTACTAGAAAATTCGAGACAATTTTAGCTGGACTGTCATTGGTCAAAACTGTCACATATATTGTCAGTTGTCATGTCAAACTTTGTCGAATGTCAACTGTAGGATGGACGGGCGTTATTTGTTTTTGTTGCTTATGTATTTTGAAAAATTGGAATATACCACTGTAATATACCGATACGTTAATATGAATATAGTTTTGTTTTAAATTTTATTATTTTAATCAAGTTTAAAAGCAAGTTTTTATATGTTTATCAAGGTAGGTAAAAATAAATTGTACGATCATAAACCAGTCACTGATACCAGGATTCTGCGCAATAGATAATTTGGTGGTCCCAATAATCTACTGCGCAGAATCCTGGAGTCGGTGACGGGTTTCTGATCGTTATTGGAATAGACATGTTAAAT